AAGGTGCCGAACATGCTCCCGCTTGCGCAGTATCTATCGACGTGTAGTCTACTAGATGAAAGATACGTCGGGATTGAGCCGAGCCGGATTGCAGCAGCGGCCTACTACCTTGCTCTGCGGATTGTATTCACGAGGAATCGTCTCGAACTCGATTGGGTGAGAAACTCTCCCACAGCCGCCACCGAAGCTAATGCCGAAGTAGAGCTACAAGCACATCAAGCTCTCTGGGTACAGGGCGGTAGAGCTGAGACCACTAATGGCCGCGTTGTGGAACACCAGCCAACAGAAACAAAGCACCACACCTATCAAAGCCATGCGGATTGCCCAGTTTCGAGAAGCAGCCAAGGTCGTAGACCTTACCTCGAACGGCGTTCTTCCCTTTTTTCCACGATGTTTCAAACCGTGGGATTATGAGGGCCTGTACGTTCCCTCCTGGGACGAGTCAGAAGATAGCTCGCCAGAGAACATCTCAAGCTCGTCAGAGTCCAGCTCACAAGATGAATGGGAAGAGGAGATATAAAGGGACACAAGTAATGATCTCCATGGTAGGCGTGGTGGAGCTTTTTGTCATGTCATCTGCGAGCAATAACAAACCTCAGACCTGACGCTTGATCAATGATTGTTTGTTACGACCCGCGAAAGACCATGTGGTATTCACTGTGGTTGTGTTGTCGACCAGCCAGCTTGCACGACTCCATGATTCTTGCCTTGCCCAAGCAAGCTTCAAACGGCGTCACAACGGGATGAGGTTGTATCAGCTAGCCCAGAATCTCGTTTGTTTCATACCATATTGCCTATCACGCAGATGCTCTCGAATAAGCGTGACTTGCCTCCTTTTTTATTTACCCTTTGTTTGTGCAAACAATTAAGTTGTGCAACCCATTATAAGCCAAGATTGTAGAGGGCTGAAGACAAGTCTGCCTTCGTTCTGGGGACTGCATGGCGACGCATTATCCGCCACGACCTACCCATATGTACCAGGAAAGGTTGTAGCTTACTCCGCCAGGAAAAGGCAAGCAAGGTTGGCCGCAAGCAAAGATTGACGACTCGCAAAGCCTGGGGCATACAGTACGTCACCTCGTACTAGGTCCTAGATCTCTCCCGAGTAAACCCCACGATCATCCGCCAATGACACCGAATCAAAGAGAATCATCTACCCAATTCACCTCCATCCAGGCCCGCCAGCCTCTCTCGCCATATCCTGATGTTCCCGACGAAAACGACAATTGTTGCCGACGCAGCCTTGACACTCGAACCAGGCATCACTCACCCGGCCGGTAGTATCTGATCTGAACATGCGTTTTCCGTACTAGGAAAGCCCATTTCTCACATTTAGGCTCTCCAACTTCAATCACTTCTTTTGAACGAAACGAGGGAATCTAGTTGTATTGGTGGTGCGTTTAGCGAGCGGATTGCCAAACCAGCAGTCGTATCTGTTACGGGGGATTGCCGACACATCTATCACGACGGCCACTGCTTGATGATGGCAGATTCATATGCAGCAAGCGTACTCCCACGCTGGGAAGTAACCAAAAGCGCAAGGATACATACATAATCCATCACGCCCCGGCTAGGCTAGCCAGGGCTCGCATGATCATCTACACATTCTCCGCCTTTGTTCAGATTCTTGCCTCCCAGAAGCCCATACAAGTCACCAAGGGATAACGCAGGCTACTTTGCATGAAGCGAATGCCGCTTTCGCAACTGAACTTGCGTACAGGCTAACTGATTTTGACTTGGCCGATCATGAAGAACCAATGAGTAACAAACAGCCTCTTCAGCTACTTGATTTGGGATTCTTCACTCTGTATCGATGCGCTCAATCATGGCATGCCTAAAAATGTTGAACGATCTGGTTTCCACGGCAATCCATCCAGCTATACCCACGGTCGCCAGGAATAATAACCCAGCCCACAGGCAGATGATAGTGGCAAACTGCCACGCTTGTGTTTCCGCAAAAAACAAAGCCGCTCCGATAATCAGCTGAACGAACGCACAATCTAGGAGAAAAACCGGGATCCATGCAATGACTCGACCAGAGCTAGGGGAACCGCCAGTGCCACCAGATGCGAACGAGAGCATGACTGTGATGCTTGCAATGAAGGGCGTTGTGATCGCAGATGCAGAGAGAAAGAAGCCTGCAAATGCAGCCGTTATTGATGTGTTCGTCGGAGGGGCTTTTGATAGCACGGTCATGGCGGTCATGCTGAGAGTAACGCATGCGAGTAGAATTGGGAAGTACAGTAGAAATCGAAATCGGTTTCCTTCTTTCCGGGCAGAAATTGATCTGTGCAGAGACATATGTGGATCTCTTTGCTGACGGATACATACCAAGGCCCATCAAGTACATTCGCCGGTGACCTCCACAGTCAAGCCAGAATCGTTTCTTTACTGTGTTCTTAGTTTAGACCCATGCTCCGTACTGCAGAGACTGAATCTGCCATCGCCGTTTGTGGATGTTGATTTATGCAACATGGGCCTAATCCACGAACACAGTGTGAGAGCAATTTCTGACTTCGGCCACGGCGGTCATCAAGAAGGTATCGTCGGGGTCCTGTCATGTTCCCTGTCAGCAAACGGATCCATCAACATCTGTGCGCAGATCAATTTCTGCCCGCAAAGCAGGAAACCGATTTCGATTTCTACTGTACACGCCCTGCAGTCGTTGCATAATTGTGGTGGCTGCAGCATGTTAGTCTACTTCGACACTTTGACTCTGTTCTTCTGTGAAAAGACAGGGAACCTTGCATTTGTCAATAGTGAAAGATTTTGTCTCCTCAGTAAAAAGCATCATATAAGGAGCACGCATTTTGCTCCGAGGACTGCTCCGAGGACGGCGGCTGCATGTGTTATGACGGCGCAAATGCCCGAACGTCGTGCAGGACCCGCCTCTGGCCAAGTTCGGAACGACCCTTCCTCACACGTCAGCAGCTGAGGACGCCAAGCATCCACAATTTGCTTTCCGCAACCCAGTCAAAACCACAAAGACCGATTTATTCACTGCTTCAAACGCCTCTTTGTGACTTTTGGTGCAGATTCCTGCTGTAGGAAAAGTGGCTGCCCGGTTGACGCCACGATATGGAGAGTTATTGGGCTCTGTCTGTCGGATCAGGAGCAGAACATACCCGCGACTCTGATGGCCACAATGACCGCCGGCGATGAACAGATCGACCGTTCGGCCACCAGCCAGCAAGTCGTCGCAGTAAAAATCTCGCCTTATCTCGCAGAAGTCAACTTAGATCAGCTGACCTTCATTACTACCAAAGGCGTACGATTCGGCTCTGATCCCTGTGGCACTGTGCGGACGCCAAAGCTCACAGTCGCGCTCACACTGTACGTTGCTCTCCAAAAGCGGATCTTCTTCCCGTTGAAAAAGACAAAACCTGCCGGAGATCGCTATGGCGACCCGTTTGCAAGGTACATTGCAAGAAACATACGGAGTGGATGCGACATGCGAAAGCGCGTGGAGAAGTGAGCTCTGGGCCGTGTTTGAAGGCGTCCATGCATAGCTTTCAACGGCAGCGTCTCTCTCCTTGCCCTAAGTCAGAGGCAATGTACAGTGCGACAGGAGCTGTATTTGACGATTACGGGAGAGCTCAAGATTCATACATAACTTCAGGAGAACTGAGCTCGATACCAAATGCACAACAGCAGGTGCTCAAGTTGATCATTCGTCATCTTTATCCGCCCACTACAGTAGAAGCTACATACACTACACGCGCGTCGAAATGCACAGTGTGCACATTATGTCCCAGGGACAATTTTGAATACTGCCAGCATCTTGCATCTCGGTCATAGGAGGAGTCCAAATA